GGGGGGGCTCCGAAATATTTTCTGGCATTAAAGGGGGGCTCTGAAAGTTCTTGATATACTGAAGGGGGGGCTCTAAACTTTTCAAAGGTTTGACCCCAGCAAATTAAAGTTAAAATTTTTACATCAGTTTCAGGTAAAATTTGCGTAATAAAGTAATTATTTTGGTGAGATGATAACCATTTTTGTAAAATACAGTCAATTTACATGCAATTTGTTTGCGAAATTTGCTTTAGAAAACGCCAGAAATTCAGCATGGCAAAACATGTACTGACAAAAGGTCAACAAGTGTCCGGTGTCATATCATGCTGGGATTTCATAATACAATCGCGCGATAAAAACATGCGTTTTTTCCCTTAAATCTCTCGTTTCTCGCTTTATATATAACATTCCTAAGATATACGCACAGTTTTGTACACCTTAGACATTGTGCTATCTCGTGTTGTGGACGCTTGTTTTGGAAGATATAAAAAGTGAGTGTCACTTTTGCCTCAAAGTTGCGTGACTTGCATAATTTACTATATACAATTTCACGAAATAGGCCAGCGCTCCGCGTTTAAAGCGTCATAACACCGTTTGTCATGCGCAATGTTAAAATATACGCGTAGATTAAAAAAGACTGGGCCTTTGCGGTCATTTTGGTGGGAAAATTGTAAATTTACGAGCAATTCCGGCGGTGTCATTTTGAGGTTGAAAATTTTGTACGTATACAATTATGGTCGCGACTTCGCCATTCATTTGGCATTGCATTTTCGTGGTATTTATTTTTATATTTACGTATTGTCTGTTGTTGATGCTGCGAAGGAGGAAAGATATGAATAAGAAAGCCATCAGCAGTTATCGGGAATCGAGATTTCGAAAATTTAATAGTAAATATATAGAAAATATCAAAATCAGTGCGCGCTCGATATCTCGGGCGCGCAGTACAAACTTTCCACACTAGCTGGTCGGGACATACCTAATTTTAAGAATTTTTTATCACTGCACATTTTATGCCAAAAATTTCCGAATGACTAAGAAAATTTCAGAATATTCGGAAATTTTTGGCGACCCCCCCCCCCGCCCCCGTCGCCAAAAAAATTTTGGTCAGTGTACCATTTTAAGGGTCAAAAATTTTTTCCGGACATACCAAAAGCCAGATATTAACTAAAAATTGCCTGAATCTCATGATTTTCGTACAAAAAACATATACTATTATTTAATTCGCTAATTTGGCAGTCATCATTTCAATTTCAATTGAATCATTCTCTTGTGTTAATTAACAACTTATCAAAGCAAATTTTATCACTGCACATTTTACATTTTATCACTGCACATTTTACTTTTATCACTGCACAAATTGGTTATCACTGCACACTAAAATTAGGTATGGGTCGGGAAATCCTTTCTTTGAGGCCTCAATAAGCAAGTAAGTTTGCAAGTTTAAATTATTCACCCTCATTTGGTTTGTAAATAAGCCAAACATTTGCTAGTTTCCAGCAAATTCTCGATTCGTTTATTTATATAAAATTTGTGTGGTATATCTTGATGAACCATTGTCATTGAGTCAGTGAAGTTTTACTATGTTTGATGTCCCTATAATTCTGTAATTTCTCTATAACATGATAATGTATCAATATAATTTTGTCTTGTCGACTTTTACTTCAAGCTTTCGTGGTAATTTCTCATTTAAAACGCTCTCAGCGCCGGCGTTCGCCATATTTCATTGCGTAAAATACAAAGTGCGTCACGCGCATAGGTCACGCGTGCCGCGAAAATTGTTACTGCGCGTGCGCACAGCTAAATGGCAAATGTCCATTCAAATAGGTTCATGTTTTGGTATGCCTAGAGCTTCGAAAATGTAAAAATTTTCTGGGGGAGAACCCCCAGACCCCCCCTTTCTCCCAAAACTTAGTATAAGAGTGCCAATCAATCACAAAAACCTTTATTATAATTATTACACGTATAATCCTCTGACATCCCCCCCCCCACCCCAAACGTCAGATGCTTTGCTACGTCCTTGATGGTTGTATTCGAAACCGATTTCAGTTTTAAGATATCCTTAGTCTGCTCTTCTAAATGGATACATGAAATCACCTATAGCTTATTTAAATTTTTTTTGCGCCAGGTTTGTGAAGTAATTTACACGCCAAAAAGCAAAAAAGCATATACAATTTGCAAGAATGATATGTTCTATGTTTATGGGATATTTCGTACAAACGGGATGGAAATTAAAGAAATTGAAGCATACTGGCACTTTTGCATGCATTTTTGACAGGCATGCAAAGACATTTGCAACAGATGCCGGGAGATACGTTGGGTGGGGGCAACATACTGTAAGGTTCCAGCACATTACCCTGATCCAGGAAATCCTGGCCACTACATGAACGTGTTCAAGACTCCGAATACGCTGAATGATGGACAACAACAACCTGTTGATAATTCCACCCCTAGAGCCAATTTAAAATGTTTTAAAGATGGTGCCATTTCATCTGGCGCTAGTGAGATGAAAGAAGCAGCAGATCGGTAGTTTTGTTGAGGAGAAGCACTTGAGTATATCAGACATCTTGAGGAACTGCAAATTGTATCTATGATAAGAGAAAATTCCGGATTGTACTCCTTCGATTCCGAATTCTAGAGGAGGGGGGGGGGCATTGAAAATTTTAAAAACTTGGAGGGGGGGCATCGAAATTTACCGATAACCTCAACAGGGGCCCTGTAAAAATATGAGCTTTTTTCAAGACATCTTCATCCCCCTCCCTCGGTGTAATAAATGTACTTTCCCTAAGTAGGAATAGAACTTTTTCCGTAGTATTCATTCTTCTAAAGTTTTGATATCGACTGTTCATACCATTGTATATAGAGTTCTAATTTGGTTATACAATATACAATGAAATAAAAAATGTGTTTCATTTTCTATGTATTGTGACCCACAATGGTCACATGTTCTTAGATTTTTTGGTATTTTGGGACAGCTATGTCTTCCTGTCTCAATTTTTAAATTATGGTTTCCCATTCGAAGCTTCGCTGTGGCTTTACGACGATCCCCATTTTTAATCAACTCCAAAAATGAGGAACATTTGGTATCGTATTTGAAAGTTGAATAAAAAACAAGTTTTCTATTTGACTTCAGAAGATGAATTTGATGTAATTGGGATTGATGTTCTATATTTTGCTTAATTTCAAATAACCATTTATTGTAATTATCGATCTTTGTTATTAGTATCTATGTTTTGTTGATTCTGTGTTTGAAATAAGCGTGTGATTTCGTTTACGCGGATGAAATTAAACAAGGTTTAGTACTAGATAACGCTAGTTGTTTAGAAATCTGAAGACATTGGAAAGCAATACTATTTTCTGGTTGATTTTCAAGATGAATCCAGAATTTTAGTATGTTTTCATAAATTGTTGATTTTAAAGATAACCGGCCTGCTTCGTTTCGAGAGGCAATGTTTGGAGCTCTTTTGCTTAGCCCAAAGTAGTGCATGTTTATAAAATTGTGTGTGCAATCTTTCAACACCTTCAGTTTCCCATTTATCAAAGTTCAGTTTCTCGTACGCACCCCAAATTTCTGAATTATACAATAAGATAGGACGGAAGAGAGAATCAAATAGTTTGTTGCATGTTGTTACTGGAAGTTTATAAAACTCAAGATATTTTTTGGTTTTAAATATAGATCGCCTCGTTTTATAAATTGATATTTGTTTTGATAATGCAAAGCTTCCATTGCGGGAGATTGTGGAGCCCAAATAAGTATAATCTGGAGGGTTTATTTTAAGAAAATTTTAGAACTGCACCTATTAGGGATCGGGGATGTTACGAAGCATCACGTGTTTGACTGGGGGGGGGGTCAAAGGGTGTTTGACTGGGGGGTCAAATGGTGTTTGACTGGGGTAAACGGATTTTTATCGATATTTAACGTTGTAAATTTATGGTTAACGTTGTAAATTATGATAGACTCCTAATTTGTATACTGATGGGTGGCAGAATAAAGGTGTGGTTTGGTGGGGCCAGACAAACTCGATGGGGAGCTACAGGTAGGGGGTGTCCCCCCAATTTTGAGTTTGTAGGCTCGTATGTTCTGGCAAAGATTTGTTTCACCCAACCACACACAAAAACTATTTCAGAGCATGTAACTGGGAATCATAAACCCTGTAATCTGGTGCATTAATGATTTGAGAACTATTGAGAAAAAGGGTTGATTTCTCTAGGGTTGATTTGCGGCATTGTTTTTGAAATATAATGGTTTTAGTTTTCTTTGGATTAACATTTAAAAATCAGCTTTGATAAGAATGGAGAGTGTTAATTATGTTCTGCCAATTGTCTGCAGACCTGTGGCACTAGTAGATAATAATTCTAAGTCATCTGCATAAAATAGGCTGTTAAGAGATGATCCGTTTGGCAAAATTATGGGGTCACAGGTGGGAAATTTGTCGTCGCTGACCACAAAAATCGCGGGCAGACACAAAGCTCCATTGCATTTACATTCAAAACCAGCGGCGTAGCCAGCCCCATACGAATGGGGGGGTCTAAAGTGCCAAATACATAAAAGTACTGTTCTAATTTTTCAATTTTAAGGTTAGCGAAACGCCCCCACGCGCATATTTGGCATGGCCTTTTGGTGATCTATATGCCACAGATTTGGTCTATTTTATGCCATAGATGAAATATTTACGAGATTAACAAAGCATGTGCGTAATAAACTAATAATATAACACGTCAAATTAATATATAAAGAAAGTTTAACCCCCCCCCCCAGTTTCTTCTCACTTTTGGAAGAATTACAATATTGATCATTGTGTGGGGTCAGAACCCCCCATTCCCTGGCTACGCGCCTGATCAAAACAGAGCAGAAAGTTAGCAAGAAGCTGTTTTAGCTGACGATTCTTTGCTTTCTATTCAACGATTTACAAATTAACGGTTATTCTTTTAAAAGTCGATCATGAAAGGCCCGGTCACACTACACAACGATAACGATAAATTGTAAACACGCGATAATTGGCAAAAAAAATTGTGTTAGTGTCCACACAACAACGAAAATGATAAAATTATCGTTAGACGATAACGATTTTAAAATCGCTCACCTGAGCGATTTTTTTTTCAGTCGGACGATAACGATAAATTTTTGACCAATCAGCGCGCGTATGCAAGTTATCGTATTGTTATCGTTGTGTAGTGTGACCTGGGCTTAATTTTTTGTTTTGGGATGATTTGTTTTGTAATCGAGTGATTGGAAGAAGTGAATATGGCGACGTGAACATGGGAGCAAATATACATCCGTGCAATGAGTCGCGCGTAAAGGCAATTTTCCATTGCAGTCTCTTTGCCAGAGCGGACATTACTCAAATATTCCTGTAGTTGTCTATCTTGTGCATTTTTTGTATTTTGTGCATGTTTTTGTGCGCCTGAATGCTCGCGGACACGCCATGAAAGTAGAACTACATTCTGTCATTCAACTTTCTTGGCGTGCCCGCGTGACTGATTTTTCACGTGATTAAAATTGGTCGCTCCACCCGCGCGGGCAAACGGAATTTTTCTTTGTCTTGTGATTTCTCGTCGAGACAAAGAAAAATTCCGCTCCGCGCGCAATATTCCGCCTTATCTTTAATCCTGTCTTTAATAAGCTACAATGCACTAATTTGAGATGTTCTGACTTTGGTGGCCGGACATTTTGCGAAAGACACTTTGCCGAACGGACATTTTGCCGAACAGACATTTTGCCGACGGACGTTTTGCCGAACGGACATTTTGCCGAACGGACAGTTTGCCGAAAGGACAACTTGCCGACAATAGAGATATCTTCTAAACGTTAAAGGTTCGCTTACACGGTCAAAGTTCTCTCTCCTCCGCAGAGGCTTACATGAAGTTTCTAGTGAGGAAAGAGTGAGCGCGCAAGGAGTGATGGGAAGAGCGAACAAAAGGAAACCTCTGCTAGTTAATGCAATCAACATGGCGTCGTATATTATCGTTTGGAGTTCAGTTCGATATCAACCTTCGAGTGTGTTGAGTTTAATTAAACATGATTTCCACTTCCCTTCTCAGGCGTACTTGAGTCTCCTGGAGTGAATCCAATATCAATATCTTCTTCTGTCCATTTGCATCGAAAAATATTGAGAAATTGCAAATAAATATAAATGGTATGACCTATCTTTTTATAAAATTCCTCTAAATTGCAACATTTCTTTATAAAAATGACTCTACTGACCTTCGATACTCAAATTATGAAGATTTATTTCAATTTCTTCCACATTTCCGTCCATTTTAAGTTTAAAAACATGTCAAACAATAGTTTGGTTCAAAAACCATACTTCGTAGCATTATGTGGCAGAGCCCCTTATCTCTTCTGTGGCAAAGCCTTCTCGGCTTTATTTCAATCTTCCCATCACTCCGCGCGCGCTCACTTTTATTTAGGAAACTTCATGTAAGTTATTTGACATGTAAATACTTAAGGAGGCAAGAGCTTGAAAAGACTTGATAATCAATTGACCATTTGCGTAATAGACTAAATTTTGATTTCAACAAAAATTTCATTACAGCTTGAAAGAGCATCACAAAATTAGTAATATTCCAAAGTTTCGTTGCAAAATGTTGTAAAATGCGGAAATATAGCCTTGCGAAATTTGCAATTTTCAGTCATTTTAGATTACAAACCGGAAATTGACAGCCTCGAAGGGTTTGGGGCTGTCAATTTCCCGTTTGTAATCTAAAATGACTGAAAATTGCAAATTTCGCAAGGCTATATTTTCCACATTTTACAATTAACATTTTGCAACGAAACTTTGGAATATTACTAATTTTGTGATGAATTTTGTTGGAATATTACTAATTTTGTGCTCCTTCACAAATATTACTAATTTTGTGTGAATTTTGTTGGAATATTACTAATTTTGTGCTCCTTCAAGCTGTGATGAAATTTTTGTCTAGACTTGTTTAGTTCAAAATTCAGTCTATTACGCAAGTGGTCAATTAACGCATTGTTCGCACCGTCTCTGTACCATCCCTGCATACCTAGCCTCCGTACGTTTCTCCACAGGCACTGGCCAAAATGAAATAGGCATCCTTGGATCTCAGCTTCGGGAAAATGGTGTTGCAACGACTGTATCGCCGCCATCTCGAAATCGATCATCACTGTGTGCAGAGAGAGATTGGACCGACGATCTTTAAGGAACTGGAAGATGCGGTCGTAGGTATTTCGGTCTTTCCTTCTGGCGATGCACAGTTCTGGAACCACCGGCGATCACGTGTAGAATGTACAGCTGGTATCCATTCGGCGAGCTACCGAAACTTTCGTCGCAGAACCAATATCTTTGGCGTGCAAGAACGTCCAAGTTCTTATCAGTTGCGAAGACGTAAATCTCTGGGTTGTCATCGTGAAGAGATTCTTCAGAGTTCTCAGCACGATGTTTCATTGCTGACACTGCATGTTCGACAGCCACGCGAGATGGATCTGTAGGCAGTGGCGTGCTGGGTACTATTTTTCTGGGGAGGCCAGTAGGCTGTCAACAAATGTGCGCCCCTATGTTTCGCTTGATAAACGAGGGCCGAAGGCACGAGCCGAGCGCCGCAGGTGCGAAGTTTGCCTAGGGGGGTCCGGGGGCATGCCCCCCCAGGAAAATTTTTGAATTTAGAGTCTCTGAAATGCCATTTCCTGGACTTTGGGGGAAGATTTGACAGAAATCTGATGGTCAGGAAACGGCATTATAACGTGTCGAAATTTGCAATTTGGTTTGAATTTAGTAGTAGTAGTACTTATATTATGCAATGCTAACAACTTCCAGCGATTAATCTAATTCCAATTCTATTCTCTACTGATCTAGTGATCTGAATACATTTACAACATACAGCTCTTTTATACAATAACACACGGACCCCACGCATATGCATTTTAAGGTTTCCCTGCCTGGCTGCCAAAAGGGCGCATTTCAGCATTATTTCATTACTCACATTACTCATGATGTTTCTAGCGCAAACAAGTAAATTGCGTACACAACTTTACATTATCATAACTTAAACTATCTAATTTGCGCCGCTCTCGTGATTCGTGAAGCATAATAAAGGGCATAATACCAGCAAAATAGGGCATGATTCCCGTGATCGCTTCGAAACCTGACCAATATTCCGGTGATGAGACATTGCGTGTGATCACAGCCGTGAGGTAGCAAATTAGCAAATACGGTTAGACAA